AGCCTAACCCCTACAGCTAGCCCAACCTCTACAGCTAGCCCAGCCTCTACAGCTAGCCCAGTCTCTACAGCTAGCCCAGTCTCTACAGCTAGCCCAGCCTCTACAGCTAGCCTAACCCCTACAGCTAGCCTAACCCCTACAGCTAGCCCAGCCTCTACAGCTAGCCCAGTCTCTACAGCTAGCCTAACCCCTACAGCTAGCCTAACCCCTACAGCTAGCTCAGCCTCTACAGCTAGCCTAACCTTTACAGCTAGCCCATACTGTACAGCTAGCCAATCCTCTACAGCTAGCCTAACCCCTACAGCTAGCCCAGTCTCTACAGCTAGCCTAACCCCTACAGCTAGCCCAGCAATATATATATATATATATATATATATATATATATATATATATATATATATATATATATATATATATATATATATATATATATATATATATATATATATATATATATATATATATATATATATATATATATATATATATAAATGGCCTTAAATGTATCACTCGACAAATACAGCGGAGCCTAGTTGTGATAGAATGTCTTCCAATGGATTACTCAAACAATGGACGTGTGCGTCATCTTGGGTAATTAAATCAATATGAGGATCTGTCTTAAATACACGAGCTAATTTACATATCTATTGGGCAAGAGTGAGGGTAACTGGACAGGTGGGGGGGGGGGGGGGGGGGAAATTGTAACAAAGCTTGCTAAATTTTAAGAAATCTTGGGTTTATTCCCACACATTGCACGTGTATGTATGTGTGTGCATGAGTGTGTTTGTTCGGTCGGGCTATCTCGTGTATCATAGGCAAGACTTGACATTAAACAAAAACTCAACTATGAAATAGTTACTATTGAAACTTTAAAATAAAACATGCAGCAGTAGAACCGAACTGAAAGCTCAACAGAAATGAAATGTTTTGACACGGATTGCCTCTAGTTGATGTAGGCATGGACCAACCCCATCATCAGATAGCCGCAGCTACTGAACAAGTTCACCCGCCATATGTTTCCTGTCAGCAATTCCTAATTTATTCAAGGTTATTCCTGTTCTCTAGCCTGGTGTCAGAGTTGAAACTGATTTGCATATGAAGAAAATGTCACCCGTTATTGCGACACAGCGCCATCTGCCGGCGTGTTTAGTGTTGTCCGTTCCTTTTGTTGTACTCACATTGTTGCATCAAGCTGCCGGTAACACAGGAGCCGGTGGATAGGACTCGCGTGGAGGGGAAACAATATACAGCTGGGGACTAAAAAAAATGTCATCGTGATGGGCGCCGCTTCACTTGAAATGGTGGACCGCTCTATAGTGGTGCTATGACACCCACGCCAGCTCGCGCGAGTAAATCGATAGTGTGGTCGTTTTGTTCATGTCACCCTGACCAGCTCTATGCCCACCCTGACCAACTCTATGCCCACCCTGACCAGCTCTATGCCCACCCTGACCAACTCTATGCCCACCCTGACCAGCTCTATGCCCACCCTGACCAGCTGTATGCCCACCCTGACCAACTCTATGCCCACCCTGACCAGCTCTATGCCCACCCTGACCAGCTGTATGCCCACCCTGATCAGCTCTATGCCCACCCTGACCAGCTGTATGCCCACCCTGATCAACTCTATGCCCACCCTGACCAACTCTATGCCCACCCTGACCAACTCTATGCCCACCCTGACCAGCTCTATGCCCACCCTGACCAGCTCTATGCCCACCCTGACTGTATGCCCACTTATCACATGGTGTCCTGAACTGTCTGTATACTGATCACGTGGGCGGCCAATTTGGCTTGCTAATCAGAAATAAACAATAACGATGGATTGATTTCTTCCAGAAGGGGAAGCAACTCCTGACTGTACGCCGTAGACATCGATTAGGACGGGGTAGCCTTTGGCAAATTGCTGATGAATCAACAAAAAAGTGCAGTTATTTGTTTATTCAACAAATCCAGTCAGATCAAGGAAACGCGGCATATTATGTTGATGATGTCGTTAAAGTGTAGAATTATTAGTGGAATTTTCTGTCGAGAATGTATGTAATTGCTTGCTAGTGCTAAAATTCGCCCCTGGTTAAGAAGGGGTCGCTAGCCTCATGTGTGGTGTCGATAAAGAAACGTGTGCCGTGACACACTTCACTTGGTGAAACGAAATCTAATTCATAGTAATTCATTGGTAGAAGTCAGTGCTAAAATCATTAGGCTACCATCAATCATAAAATGGCTGAATTGTATTGTTTTAATACACATTTTGAACCAGTTCTGTAAGTAACTATCCATGACCCTCCCCTACCCTGTTGGCTGAGTTAACGCCCCGTGCGAATGTCAGCTCTATTAAATCCATGCCTGTAAATAATGACGTGTGTAGTGCGCCAGTTGAAAGTAAACATCACCGCCGCAGTGTTAAACACCGGTCCGTTGAGATCTATTTCATCTACTGCTCAGTGTGGAAGGATAGTCTCTTTTATCCACAGGATAGGAGTGTTTTTAACTGCTCAGTGTGGATGGATAGCCTCGTTTATCCACAGGATAGGAGTGTTTTTAACTGCCCAGTGTAGAGGGATAGCCTCTTTCATTCTCCGTATAGGAGTTTGTTTTTAACTTCTAAATTTTACGGGAAACAATTTGATATAGATGTTAATTTGTTATTTTAGGATTAAAGCTTTTCACCAATGTTGTCATTTCGGATCGTCACAAAACAGGAAGTCATCTTTTGTTTAACAAGCGACTAGCTCGTTTTCTGTACGTTTGACACGCCGTGCTATTAATAGCTCTATATGTTTAATGTTTTATTAATCCTATTCAGTCTTGGATTACTTGGATGTTTTCAATAACACACCACTTGTGGGAGGAAATAGGTAAGTGTGTGTGTTGTTGAAGGTTGTAGGCCTAAGCGTATTCACTTATTTATTACACAACTTTGGTGAGGTTCTTTTTTTATTTGAGAGTGGATAGGCCATATTTGTTTAAAAATGTATTGGAAAACACTTAGAATCAATCTGCATGTTCGGCATGGAATCAATTCTCTAGTCTAGGACAGACAAATCTGGTTGAAAAATTCCATTTCTTTCTCAAACTGACACCCTGCCAGAGCGTTTGTGACCCCCCCCCCCCCCTCCCGAGAATTAATATGTAGCCTATAGCAGCGACTATAGCTACCGAAGAAGGGGAGATAATAAGTGGGCTACAGTTACCGAAGGCATGGCTATAATAAAACACGCTAATGTAGGTCTGTGTCGTGAGCCAAACTGAATGCTACCTTTGCGTGGAGCTAAATCTAGCAGTGGAAACCCAAACATTGAACTGTAGGCCTACAGTGTGCCTCACAAATCGTTATCGGATGATTGCCTAGCCCTTTAAGCAATCAGGCATTGTTACTTTTATTTAGTTTTATCTCAGTGGGTGGACATTTACTCTTGAAAAGCTGGTTCCAAATTTGTTGCCAAAAAAGCATATTTTTCAACTAAAATTGAATATTTGTTAACATTTGTGTACAAAATAACTTCCGGTTTTAATAGTCAAACAAATAAACGTCTTTTTTAAAAATTAAATTAAGGATGATTACAAAGACTTTTCATGCCTATTGTTGCGAAACGAGATGAGGACGGATAGACACTTGAGAACGTTTGACAATAAACCAACTAACACGAAGTCCGTGTACAGGACATAAGCCTCTTACGCGTATGAAAGAATGACCCTCAAACTTTCCTAACCCCACCTTTTGTATCCCAACTCTTGCCTGCGCTATTTATCACTTCCCTCCCAATCGTTCCTATGCTACACGAGTGTAATAAATTACTCATGCATTACTTGGTATTAAATTGTTTATTTTCTTTAGTCTCAATATAACTGAAACAGACTATAGTTTTGAAGAGTAATTTGTAAACATGGAAATAAAAGGGAAGCTACTCTAAATCTACGCAAATACATCTAATAATCTTAATACAATTACTTGTATGCAGGAACACACAAGAACAATCGACATTAAAGTAGTCATCCCCCTCCCCGGAAATATTTTCAAGAAGTTTATTTTTACGAACATCCCCCATATCACATCATTAGTATGCAATTGGCCTAACGTACAAATAAATCAAACACATCTTTTTTATGCAAAGAAATAACGTTAAAATAAAATAGAAAAAATGTGACATAAAAAGCGGTGTCAAAGTATCGAAGGTTTTAAAAATGGTACCTGTAAATCAGTGGAAATGGCTACTTGGTACTATCATTAGCAAACTAGTAATACGTTCAAACAAGCGATCGTTCCTGTCGTGGACTGGTAACGTTTATTGCGAGCTTACTCCCAAAAAAAAAACGTTTTTTATATAAAAAAAAGCGTCCAATTTTACGTTTTGCCCGGAACCTTATAATTTTTAACAAACTAAAGACGCACAATGTACCAGAATTAATCGGACTGTCCCTACCTTACTTTTATGATTTCCACTTTTAAAATTTAAATACAAGTCAAAAATAGTATCACAACTTATCTGCATAATGAGGGTAATCGGCCGCGTTACTCATGAGTCTTGTTGAAAGTAAGAGAAGGCACAAGCTATTTGAATAGTAGGCTACTTTCAATAAAGTTCAAGATATAAGCAATGCGTATGATACTATAAACCGATATGACACCCAAACAAGAAAATTTGATAAAGCATAAATCTTTTAAAATATTCATTCTAATTCTAGAGCAAGAGAATATTTTAAAACTCGCGATTTATATAAATAAAAGTAAAATTACTTAGGCCTAGATTTTCTTGAAAACGTGTCTATTAATTTCTATCTCATCTAGATCTAAATAAAAATGGAAACCAAGTACTTACGAGATGGCTGAAATTTAACTAGCTTAATGACAAATGCTGAAATAGGCAATTATTATAAAACCCAGACCAGAAATACGACAGTTCGTAAAAGTAGCTAGGACAGTAAGCGACAGGAATAGGACAAACAGTAGTATTTGGTTATAATAAGTCTCGAAAAGAATCTTCTGGAACAATGGGGTGGCCCTGAGAAGGGCCAGTTAATTTTGACAGTGGTAGCAGGATACCGCGTCTATTTCTTCTCTGCTGCGGCTTTTGGTGCCTTCTTGGCTGCTGGTTTCTTAGCTGCCTTGGGCTTTGCTACTTTAGGCTTGGCGGGTGCAGCTTTCTTTGGGGACTTGGCTTTCTTTGGTTTGTCAGCCACAGCTTTCTTGGCAGCGGGTTTCTTGACGGCAGTCTTCTTGACGGCAGTCTTCTTGGGAGATTTTGGTTTCTTAACCGCAGTTTTCTTAGGTGATTTAGGCTTCTTGACGGCAGTTGCGGCCTTTTTGGGTTTAGCTGCTGCTTTGGTAGCCTTTGGTTTCTTCTCAGCTACTTTCTTGGCCTTGGTTTTCTTTTCCTCTTTCTTATCTCCCAGACGGAAAGAACCGGCTGCTCCAGAGCCTTTAGACTGCTTCAATCCTCCAGCTGTTACGCCGGCTTTAAGGGCGGCTTTGAGTCTTGCATTGACGGCAGTCTGATTGTCACCAACTTTGTAGTTAGCCACAATGTATTTCAAGATGGCTTGGCGAGATGAACCACCGCGTTCTTTCAATGCAGAAATAGCTTCAGCAACCATCACTTTGTATTGTGGGTGAGCAGCTGGTGTCTTGGGTTTAGCGGCAGCCTTCTTGGGTGCTTTAGCGGGTGCCTTAGCAGGTGCATCGGTAGTAGCGGCGGCAGACATTATAAAATTTTGAGCGCGGAGAGTGACGATCTTCTCTGTACGGAAGTAAGAGTTAGAATGACAGCGGTCTGCAACGCTCCAGCTTTTATAGTGCAGCGCGAACATAGCGGAGAGCTACTACGTCACAAGAGGAAAAATGTCGCTTCCCGTGTCCGTTTTTTCTAAACAAATGGCGTTTATGTGCTAAGTCGTGAATCTAAAAAATTAATAACATTTTAACAGTTTACATTTACTAAATCGCATCTAGTGAGAAATTTAGAAAACTTCATGAATTTTCATTTGATATCAAATAACATAGTGTTTTTATAACATTTAGAATTATAAAGAATAATTTACTCAAGGTAAACTTCCAGTGAGCCTTGTGGTAAACTTAATAAAAATTAAAAATAATTAGTTTAAAACAATGTTTCTTATGATTTTGTTGCTTTAAATGATGTACTAATGTTATTTCTTTAAGAAATTTTAGACCTTTTAGTAATTTGCAAATAATTATAGGCTTAAAATAATAATTTTCAAGCCCTCTTGTGCACATTTTAACCAAGTTCAGAGTGTCGATTCCTTGCTTCTAGTGAGTATAGTTTTAGATTAAATGCATTTAGAATGATTGGAATAAAAAATAAGTGTTTTGAATTGATACAGATGAAATATTATTCTTTGAAATAAACATTTTATTTTATTTTCAACCGTAAAAATCATCATAAATCTCGCCAAATAAATCCCTTAAAACTGAATATTCTCGCCATCTTCCCTCTTCACTTTCCTACCGAAGCTGAGGGGTTGTTGATAAATGTATTAGATCTAGAATCTAGAGTTGATCGAGTTTATGTATTTTCACATTTAAATTATGAAACATAGTTTTGGATAGCATTAAAATAGATTTGACAATAACATATAGATCTAATTGCTTTTTATTTGTCCTGCTTTAAGGTTTTACAATAGATCTAGAAATCTAGATCCTAGATCAAGAGTTTCTTGATCAGATTCATTAGTCTAGTCTAGAAACAGTCAACTAGGGCCTACTGAACTAGTCTGCTTGCCATGGCCGTTATTAATTCATAATAAATTTCTAGATCTAGATCGAGAGACTATTAATTTAATAGATCTAGAATCTAAATCTAAATGATAATACAAATAGTAACACTTTTAGTTTAGATCTAGAAGTCTAGATCTAGATTCATAGTTTATTAAATATTAAGTTCAACCAAACGATCAATAGGCCTAACTAATAATTTTAATTAAATGAATTGAATCTTTAAAATAAAACAATTAAAGATAGAATCTAGAATAGATATCTACTATCTAGATCTACTAGTTCTGCAATTTACAAAAGAATAAAAAAAGCTGAAGCTTGACTAATCATTTATTAGTAATTATACCCACACATTCTTTTCCAAATTAATGAGATAACCAGTGTGGCATCATCTTTGCAATTTGTCTAGATCTAGATAGACTCTAGATCTAGATCTAGATCTAGAATCACTAAGACTAGAATCTAGATCAATTTAGATCTAGATCTAATTCTAATTAAACATGACAAATCAATTCCTATCTATCTATTATCTATCTATATTCTATAACTATATCTAGAGATATATAGAACACAGAGGTGTAGCGAGGGCAGGGCGGGGGGTGCGGACCGCACCAGGTGACACCAATTATAGGGGTGACACCAAGGCAAAATTTACAGAAGAAAAATGTTTTTTTGCCAGTTCCATTAATGATTAATTAAAGTTAAATAGTCTATTAAGTACAAATCGACAATTACATGGTGGAGAAGTGACACCATGGCGTAAACGTGCTAACTTTAGAGAAAACAATGCTACACCCAACTGTTATCAACAGACTATTGATAAAAAAATTGATACTATTAAGTCTACAGTGATTAAAGCTTATACACATACATGTACGCGTATGTAGCATATATTAAAATTTTGTGCTTATGTAAGCACACATATATATATATATATATATATATATATATATATATATATATATATATATATATATATATATATATATAGGCCTATAAATATATATATATATATATATACACTTTATTTCTTGGGGGCAGAGTTTCTTCCAGGCATCTCTTCGGGGGGGGCTTAGCCCCCCCGAAAATTTTTTACCGCCCCCCCCCCGAACGAAATGAAATTTATATAATTTATATAGAAGATATATACTTTTAACAGTGTCCGCCCCCCCGAAGAAAGTTTACCGCCCCCCCGAAGATTTCAAGTGCCCCCCCGGAGAAAAAAGTCTGGAAGAAACACTGCTTGGGGGGGGGGGGGGTGACACCACGTAGTGCCGCACCGGGTGACACCCGACATAGCGACGCCACTAAAAAAAATAAATATATATATATATATACACTTTATATTTTGGGGGTGGGTGACACCACATAGTGCCGCACCGGGTGACACCCGACATAGCGACGCCACTGGTAGAACATTAATAATAAATAGATTAATCAAGTAAATATGTAGCAAAAGCTGGTTGCTACTGATCATCTGATTGTAGATCTCTATATTGACTATATTCTATAGTAGGCCAAAGCGCCTTCTTAATAGTGCTTATAAGTACTTAAGTAAGTGTTAATAAAGCCACATTTTAATCAAATTATGCAGCCTTTTATTTGATACACCCATTTTTGTTGTAAAATGTAACAATATATAAATCTACTTATGTTAACATTGACTGCATAGATTTCTAGAACTAATTTACTAATGTAGCTCAGTGACATGAAAATCTTTTAAAAAATCCATAAAAGAGAAAAATGAATACACATAGGTCATAGGTAGGCCTATATAAAAAAAATTACTAGTTAGAATCTAGAAATATAATAATAGCCTACTTGAATAAAAAATATTAAAACATTCGTGAGACAATATTGTAGTTGGCTTGGAGATATTATTTTTGATGGTTTTAAAATACACATACACATATGTTTTACACACACTTTTTTTTGGTGGGAAGTTATCTCATAACTTTGAACATAAGATTCTAAAAAGTCATTTGCTCAATTAACCACCCTTAGTATAAACAGCAGAGTATGGCATGGCTTAGTGGTAAAGCGCTACCACTTGAATGCCCCTGAGTCCACCTAGCTGTGATGGGTACCTAACTCAAAGTAGGGAAAATAAAGGCGGCTGGCCATAGTGTTCACCACACTATACCTCCATATGCTGAGGTCACAGAAACAGGTGAGCTCTACTTCACTTGATAAGTTCCTTAGTCTGTCAGGTTCCAAAAGTGAGCTACAAGATCTAGAAGGCCTATAAACAACCAGCAACTTCAGGATATCCAATCTTGAGACTTATTTAATTGAATATATTTCTGGGAATAAAGACTGAAAAATAGTTGATTAAAATGTTGTTACTCTAGGCCTACTCATCAGGAGAAAAACAATTTAGTCTATTTTTGTACTGTGGAACAAGTTTAAGTAGCCTAGATTTATATCTACTTGATTTCTAAAGTCGTGAGCTCAGTTTCTAGGTATTAAATTTCTGTAAAAATAATCATTATTTTTCAGATTTCATTTTCCTGAAATTTTGATGTTCCCATACTCAAACTCGGAACAATTTGTGATATCCCATGCTTAAACCTGAAACAATTTTTGATGTTCCTACTACCAAGGCAGACAATTTAAGATGTTCCCATACTCAAACCCGGAACAATTTATGATGTTCCCATGCCATGCTTAAACCTAGCATAATTAACGATGTTCCTAAACTCAAACCCTGTACAATTTATGTTTTATTCTCTAGCCAAAAAAAGTTTAGAAAGGGAACAGGGCAACATTATCTTATTGCGGAAAAAGAGCCAATGTGTAATTTGTATCTGAAAATATATTATAGAAAACAGCTCTTTAAGTTGTATTTTATTTCTGTTAACTGAAACAATATGAACTAAATTAAAATCAATATTCAATTAAACTAGTATTTTTCTAGGTTTCCACACCTATTTAATTTAGTCAAGCCTTCTGATTTTTTCTGTGTGACTGAAAATGTTTTGATGGCAGGGTTACAGAACATTGCTCTCATCCAAGTACATAACACAATCAAGACATGACTCCACATTTTAAATAGGAATATCAATCATAGCCTCCCCAACATTCTCTAACACGCACAGTCTTGGCGTCTTGTCATACAGTATTGATCAGTCTATATTTAGTTTTGTCGTCTTCAAAATTCAAGCAGACATAGTTTGGTTGACTACTTTTGTCTTAGTTCAAACATCAGGCACAAGTTTGGTTGACTACTTTTGTCTTAGTTCAAACACCAGACACAAGTTTGGTTGACTACTGTTGTTTTGTCTTAGTTCAAACATCAGGCACAAGTTTGGTTGACTACTTTTGTCTTAGTTCAAACATCAGGCACAAGTTTGGTTGACTACTTTTGTCTTAGTTCAAACATCAGGCACAAGTTTGGTTGACTACTTTTGTCTTAGTTCAAACATCAGGCACAGGTTTGGTTGACTACTTTTGTTTTGTCTTAGTTCAAACATCAGGCACAAGTTTGGTTGACTACTTTTGTTTTGTCTTAGTTCAAACATCAGGCACAAGTTTGGTTGACTACTTTTGTCTTAGTTCAAACATCAGGCACAAGTTTGGTTGACTACTTTTGTCTTAGTTCAAACATCAGGCACAAGTTTGGTTGACTACTTTTGTCTTAGTTCAAACATCAGGCACAAGTTTGGTTGACTACTTTTGTTTTGTCTTAGTTCAAACATCAGGCACATGTTTGGTTGACTACTGTTGTCTTGTCTTAGTTCAAATCTTTTATGTCTAATGATATTCTCCCATCCAAAGTGTGTGCCAGTGTTCCCATCCAAAGTGTGTGCCAGTGTTCCCATACAAAAGTCTGTGCCAATGTTCCCATACAAAAGCCTGTGCCAGTGTTCCCATCCAAAAGTCTGTGCCAGTGTTCCCATACAAGTCTGTGCCAGTGTTCCCATACAAAAGCCTGTGCCAGTGTTCCCATCCAAAAGTCTGTGCCAGTGTTCCCATACAAGTCTGTGCCAGTGTTCCCATACAAAAGTCTGTGCCAGTGTTCCC